AAAGCAAGGGAGGGTTCAGGAGCGGTGAGGGTGGGTGGGGGTTTTGGAGGCGGTGCTAAAGCGGACCAGCGAGAAGCGAGCGCAGAGACGAGTGCGAGGAGGACCGGAGAGGAAAAGAAAAGAGGGGCGTCCGTTTTGAAAAGTGCCAGGGGATGAAGAAGTGTCGGAGCGGCGCAGAGGCGAGGGCGGCGCCGCCGGCAAGACGTTAAGACCATAACACCCGCCGGACTGAATTTTAGCCCAAAATGAAGAACGAACCAAGTGGAGGCAGAGATGCCAGGCTCTCACCGGGGTGAGTGTTTGCATCATGTTAACGGCTCCGTGCGTGTCTTGTAAATGCTCCAAAGTCAGCATCCTGACGTTTTGGCCTCATTTGCATGAAGGCAAAAGTTTGCTAGAGGAAAGTTTTGAGTGTTGATGTGACGTTCACGAATGCAGGCGAGAGAATGGAACACAAAAAGTTGCGTGGCAGCAGCGTTCGCACGCTCATCATGGACTTCAAGGCAGCGGAAGCTTGAATCAGCTCTCATATCTGACATGAAATAATGAACGTTGGAAAGTGGAAGCAGCCGCTGGATGCTTGGGTCAGGGTGTCCACGCGCAAACTGTTCATTTAAGGGGAGCTTTGAACTCAAAACGTGAAAACTGCGGCATTTGGGGGCATTCGTTTTTGTGTGTTTTGGAGCCTGGAATGGCCACAAAACAAACATCAGCACATCTTGTGTCATTTCAACTTTTGTGTCATTTCCCAACTTTTATTGTGCTATGGTACACATTTAAAATGAGAAAAATCTCACATCATACCACCAAAAACAAAAATGTGACAAAAAAGTGGACGCGCAGAACAATTTCCTTCTGCCTTCTAATGGAAGATAATTTAATTGTTGTGCCTGTCGCTATATGTTGCTTGCAAAATACATTTGTAAAAAAAAAAAAAAAAAAATCAATCAATCAATGTGGTTCTCAAAACTCTACACACCCCTGTTAAAATCCTCGGCTTTTGTGGAGAAAAATGAGACCAAGATCAACAATTTCATAACTTTTGCACCATTACTGTGACCCGGTGAAACGGAATCAACTGTAATAATCATAAGAATAATAATAGGAGGAAAGGGGAATTAAAAGACTACTAGAACAGCTTAAACTTCATTTTGGTTTCATGAATGGCACTTTCAAGGGTCGCTGGGGTGTTCTGACTCCCATTTTGCATTTCTTTTGAGATGGTTGGTTCATCCTCAGTTTGTGTTAACTAAGTGACTGTAACTAAATTCGGCAATAAGTGACATGAAAAGCCTACTAGAGCATCTGAACTTTACTCGGGCTTAAAAAGAGGGTCGAAACGGTGGCAGGTGTGTGCCGACTTCCGTTTAAACAGGAGTTTGAAAGTGATTGGTTCGTTTGGAGCACAGCCACATCCTCAGATAAAAAAGGAGATTGAGCCTGACTTGTGCAACGACACCATCGCAATGGTTCGATTTTTACTTATGCTCTTGGAAAGATTTTTTTTTTTTGCTCTTTGAGAAATTTTTTTTTTTTTTTTTTTTTTTTTTTTTAATTCGATCTGGTCTGTGCAACGAATTTTCCACATTCTGCAAAAGAGGTAAAATCTCTTCGGGTAAATGGTGATGTGGTGGAATGGACGAGATTCTCCCATGCTGCTCATTATAATCTGTTGGGGTATTGATTTGAAATTGCAGCCTTGGAAGACCCCCCCCCCCCCAAAAAAAAATAGCTGGTTAAGTTTACCCACAGATTGTTAGCCTGTCGGAGGATTTTCCTCAATCAGCATACATACTTTGCTGTAGGCATACAATACATCGCAGATGAGAAGGTGCAGTCTCCACACCCGCTTCAGTCGAGCGGTATCAGAACTTGTGTTTCTTTAGGGAATGAATCACTTTGACACACGCCGTTTCTCCCCCCCCCCCGTGTGTGCGTGCGTGTGTGTAATTACAAGAGATACGTTTATAGATGCCCGAGCGTGCCCTCCGCTCTTTGTAGTAGTCAGGGTGACGTGTTGACATTTTCGCGTGAGCGAAGGCCGTCATTAAGTGGCCGCCGG